CCCCCACCCCACCCCGAGAGTAACGCTTACCATGCGCCAATGATGAACTCTCCCAGTGTTTTAGAGAAAGAAGCCTATTAAAGGAAACTACGACTTTGAAATGTGAAAATACCACTGTTGTGGGGAGATTTTAACCGCCACGTTACCAGGATGTTCGTAAAAATAATACGATCATAACAGGCTACTTAACAGTCTCGGTTGAGATTATAGAAACTAAGCGTGTCTGCTAAGCTCTTGTGAAATAATATGTAAGTCGTAAGTTCAATTTAAAAAGAAAAGTCTGCTAAAAAGGGGCCCCATGATAACACACACAAGAAAAAGCCAGGGTACTGTCCTTGATCTCAATCTTGCTTCACGAAAAAGTAGCGCTGCATTTCACAATACACGGGCATCAAGAAAAGGAGATGAAATTATGCTCATTGTTTGACTTCGTTAAATGCAAGGATTGAAGCCATACTAAGAAGGCTGCTTAGATATTTGAGTTGGAAACCGTATAACAGAGACCGATACCGATGCCACAAAAAAATTGTTCGAAACGGGAAGGACAGCTGATGAGGCATGTCGAAATACTGTTTTATAAATCTCCATTTCACACATCACGATCTTATTTGGCTAGGGAAAATGTATGCAGTAAATAGTTGAAGAAGAAGAGTAAAAAACGGTGAGTAACTGCACAATTAAATGAATCAAGGTGCCTATGAAAGGTGTCGAAATAAAATGAGCTTACTTATGATAAATACAAAGGAGATAAGCACTGAAGTCAGGTTGACGAAGTTCCACAACCGTAAACTATTAATGAACCCAGAAAACTGACTCCTTACTTCGAAAATTTTTGTTAACAACCTCTCGAACATGGTCTAATTCGAAGCGCCATTAATTTGACGTTGATACCAACCCCCTGGCCAAACATTATGCTTACTTATCGGCCATTACAATCTGGTGTAACCTTGGACTCCATAAAACTGTCCAAAAATAAAAGGCTGACACTAGAGGAAGTCAGAAGAGCAAGTATATAATTGTAGCTTCAATAAGTCCTAGAACTAATAATTTACGATATAAACTTACCACCACTTGAAAGACAACTTCCGACTTTTTAACTTTTCAACGACCTTAGCGCCTCTTTCGAATTAAGCTCCATTGGTAATAGACTCGTAACAATAGACGCTATGGCCATTTAAAACATTTTCAGTAACGTCTATAGCGTTCACCTGATACACCACCAAAATTCATCACGTCGGCGGCATCACTCTGTTGTAAGACACAGTTAAGTGCGGTTGGGTACATTTTTCAAAAAAATAATTCAGGCGTTAAAAGGTTAAGAAGTCCCTATACCGAGGGATGATGCAAGGAAATAAGAACCAACCTAATTGACTACCGTATTAGTTTTCTTAGACACAGTGGGGAATTACTTTGCATCGTTGGTCCGTGAAAGTCTTAGCTTACGCATAAGTGAACGATTGTCAAATAATCAAACATGGATTATAATAATAAGGGTTACCAATTGGCGGATTTTACCAACACTCTAACCATGTACCAAATTTTTGCCATAGGCTATAAAAAAGAATAACCACCTCCTGGTCACTTGCGTCCACACTTTAATAACATCATCAATAGAATGATGACGGTCATTGGAGAGTCAACAAAGAAAACAACATTTGAATCCAGAATTCAGAGAGCTAAACTATTTCGGTTTTATAAGCGACAATGATAGGAAAAAGGCATTACCAGTCACTATCGAGTACAGAACTCTTACGAGGGAAAAAAATCTCCCCAGAGAAACAATAACCGAATTTCATCAGCCGAATCTAAAAATAAGACTTTTGAATAGAACCCTAAGAGCATTAGAGAAAACAGTGAGGCGTGTAAGTGTCATCTTTATGTCCACGTCCACAGAAAATCAATTTCTTACATTACGGACTGGATCGCTGTTTCGCAGTAATAATAATAAACGACAAAGACTTTCGCCGACACGTTTTCAATTACTTTAATTGGTCGAAGCAACACATGGCAGGATGGTAAGATTAAATTCAATGCGAATCTCCTCAGAGGATCTCATATAATTACAACAGCCTATAATCCAAAGCTAAGCATCTTCCGCTTGCCTTAATCACCTCAAAAAGTTTAAGCAAATACATACAAATAAATTTACACAAATTTCTCATTATTAGAAATATAACTGATATCCGATGATTTGAACCAAAAAAGGCTTGTAAATTGCAGATGCATAGACTTTACCCTTTGTGCGCAAGAATATCGATTATCGGTTAACTGGGAAGCTAATAATTTAACAATGATCTAAATCGATATGAAAAATGTACGATAAAAAAGATAATGTAATATAACAAGATGGTTTATGGCAACCCTTTATTCGCCATATACTGAAAAATGCGGCCTGAAAACTATAGATATGAAAATGATGGCACACTCTGAATCATAAATAAGAAAAATCAGTTTTAACGTAATGAAATTCACCTATTAAGTAAGATGAGGCTGATGTATTGACAAAAACAGAATACTTTAAAAAAGTTAGCTTACGCGAAATCAGTATACCCACAAAGGGCGGCAACGGTTTGTAGAAACTCTATAGCTGGGAAGAATAACTCATCAGGAAGATTGGAATTAGGATCAAGTTCAAAAACAGAAATGGCCGAGAAAAGATTCTCATTAATCACATTACTAAAGGTAGGATTCGAACTCTAGATGTAGCAAAACAAAAGGAGTAAATAGCATTATAACGTGGTATTAGCTACACAGAAAATTAAGTGTTGTCTTACCCAAGCCGATTTCAAATAGCCAGAAAACCACGATTGAACATCAGGGGATTGATTGATGAGTAATTGAGTAAAAAATTGCAAAAGAGAAAAATTTCTATCCTTTTTGGAATTCATGATTGCCATTTTCATAACAAGATCGGGCAGAATCTTCAATCGAATCTAAATGTACGAAATAGTAAAGTCGTAGTTAGCTTACACATTCATCCATTACATCGGTGGTCTCAGGAACAAAGGAAACAAGATATTCCAAAGTTGCCAAGCAAAGAGCACTTTTTCTTGTTTCAGCCTTGCCTTTAAAATACGAAATCTGGTTAAGGAAATGTTCGTAGATATCCGACCATAAATGAGGAAAATTCAAGACGAGACGTTCTATTAGGTAACGCGACTTTGGTCCACAGTGTATACAGAGATTGACAACTAATGTCGGCAACATATTCGCTTCAAATACTTCTACAGAAAAAGTAAATTAGAAACACAAGATATACCGGCTGCAACGAAACTAATGAAAAGAGTAATTGAGTCCAACATAGATGGAGACTCCAAAAGAGAACAGCACTGGTAAATATTGCAAAATTCGGAAAAGGGCTGCGAAGAAAAAAATAACATTAATACAAGAAACCAACCTCTTCCATAACATGGAGAATCTGTTGAGTTACAAGCTTCAGTTTTAATTCAGTAGAGTTTTGAGCTTCGAAATCGTCGTATGTGTAGACCCTAGGTCGACGCATTGTTTGGTCATTTTGTCTAGAGAAAAAATATATAAGCAAAGTGGCTAAAACCTCTTCGACAGGCTAAATAGTGCTTCATTCCACTCCCTTGAAAAGTCAATAAAGGCTAATTCATCTGCCAAATTCAATAAATCGATGGCTTTTATGAGAGAATTTGAATGCTTCAGGCGTTTACTGATAAAAGCATCAAAATTCTCCGTCGTAAGATATAATCTTGGGAAAATCGTCAGCACTGAGATTTCATCAAGACAATCATAAGACTGAGATTGTGATAGATGGAAAAGTTCTGTTTTAGACAACTGCAGCATAGGAGGACAAAAACACTGAAGGCAGGCAAGAACGCTCAAGCCCAAGCGAATAAACTTTTCTTGTTATTCTGCCAATCACATTAAAGTGTGCCACTTTCGAAGACCTTGAAATAGACTTTCGTTTTATTTATATAAAATTTCTAAAACTTGCACAAATTAGGTTGAAACACTGCCAAGGTTATTTTTAAGATCACGAAAAAATTTAGGCTTTACTGGATATAATTATTATACTACTTGGTGGTTTAAACGGAAACAATGCGAATACGCATATTTGATCATAATGATCAAATATCTAACAGAGCACTTATATATAAAAAAGCGATATTGATTATGTTATCGCCTGGGGTGTGCGATAGACTTACCTCCACGTGGTGCACCCTAGGCAACGTATACTCATACGGCAAAAATGTCTATTAACCGGCAGTTGACTTTTGACTTCAAACTACCATCACCCCACTGGATGCCATATTCTACCACTTCCACAGTAATCATCCTACCTTTTCTCTGCCTTTGTGTCTGTCTCTTTTACAACTGCAAACCACTCTTCTGTTCCCCATCCCTCGACTTTCTGTTACTTTGATGTTCCTTCCCTCTGCGAAGCCCGAAATCAGCTAAAGGGCTAATGATAACTATCAAAACGCCTGCCATTTGATATAAATAAATAAATGTTATCACCTAACAGCAGGCATAAGGAATTCAATATCTTAAAAAGTATTCGCAAAGCTAATAATATTTTGACGGAAAAATTTTTTCCGATAATATGTGATTGACACAATCTTGAAAGTTACAAAACGCATTCGTAACAATGATAATTAATAAATGAAATGCCTTCGTGTTTTGGAATACGGGCTTTTGACATTAAATATTTAATGTGTGCACCTTGAGTGTTATTTCGATTATTTTAGGAGAGAAGGCGCCTTCATATAGATTTTAGATTATAATTTCGAGGGCCATGAAAAATGCCCATCTTTAGCAAACAATTGACTTATGCTAAAATAAGGAAAAAATTATTTATGCAATTTAAACTTCAAATAAGCATATTGGATCGTGTTGAATATAAGAAGACTCATCGTTTGAAATCACATGCCAATATTTGTTAATTGCACGAGAAAATACTGTTTATTCTCCATTTAAGCCTCTGCGTTTCAGCCGATAATGACCGGTTTTAATTTTTTTAATAACATTACTTTATTCTAACCTACCTTATTTTCTGGTTTACTAAAATACTAAGTTTTCTAAGCAGACTAATTGTGTAACAAAACTACCGGGAATTCTACTCCCATCCATTATGTCACTAATAAACCAGCTTTAAGAATTCGATTTTCAAACAAAATAATCTCTCGAGGCATCTGAATGTAATGATTCATTAGAGAAGATGTTAATAAAACGAGGTCTTAAAATATTGAATGATTTAACTACGAAAAAATCTTTTCGCCTAGCTAATATGACTTCGTAACAATATACTCTTAAAATGACGCATTAAAAATTGCAGTTAATACTAAGACGAAAAAATTTTCTCCACTTTTATTGAGCTACACGTCTGGAAGTTGTGTTAAAATTGACCGAATATTTAGTTGCATTCAACGATAAGCTCATTATAAAGAATATTTATTGTATTATTACTTTAACCGACGTAAAACAAGTTATTTCAAAATTATAGGGCTTAGCGCGTTTACAATATCTCTCTCATGTTAGTCAATCTATCAACCTCTTACGGCCTTTTTTCTTTTAATTTAGATAAAGTAATTATCTTTGGACTCTGTGTGGGTACATTCTTTGGTATTGAGAGCGTTACTTAAAGGATTAAACAGAATCAATAAAAAGTGTAGCTGAACTAAAAATAAGCTAAGCAAAACCCATCTCTTGGCTTACCTAAGAAACAAATGTATTTGTGGTGTTCGTTATCAATCAATTTAAACAGAGTGGGAAACGGTACGGGTCCTAAATTTAGCAACCATTATTCAAAAAATCATATATTCTTAAGCAAATTAAATTATATAAATGTTCTGTTCATTTTAGAAGTGCCTAAACTAATATGGATTTGAGTGAATGCAATTTAATAATTTTTGCATTTATCCCGATTCTTTGAAACTTAATGACCTTGGTCATAACTGACATTTGCGCGGCATTGTAGTTTCTTCTCCTTGGTTATGAATTGTCTTCGTAGAGTTGGGTTTTCTCTTACTCGAGCTGTTAAACAGTTCTCTACTTCCTCTCAAGTAATATTAATATTTGATTTTAAGTTCATGAATATATAGAATTCCCAAAAAGTTGCGATTTTGGGTGCTGCTGGAGGCATTGGCCAGCCTCTTGCACTTCTTATGAAACAGTCCCTATTTGTTTCTGAAATTGCTTTGTATGACATTGCCAATGCCGCTGGAGTTGCTGCTGATCTGAGTCACATCGAGACTCGCCCTACCGTCTCTGGACATACTGGACCTGAAAATCTTCAAGCTGCTCTTTGTAGTTCAAAAGTGGTACTTATTCCAGCTGGCGTTCCCAGGAAACCAGGTTCGTTTAAATAGCTACTAAATTTCTTGTTGTTGAAGTGATTTTATTACAAATATTGTTATTAAAGGAATGACTCGCGATGATCTTTTCACTACCAACGCCTCCGTTGTGGCTGATCTTGTTAGAGCTTGTGGCAAGCACTGTCCGGAGGCAATGATTTGCATTATCACCAATCCGGTCAATAGCACCGTACCAATTGCTGCTGAAATTCTTAAGAAAGAGGGTGTTTACAATCCCAAACGGCTTTTTGGTGTGACCACTCTCGATATTATCCGTTCGAATACTTTCATTGCTCAGGCTAAGGTATGCTTAATTATCTACTCCATGTTGTCACATTCGGTTTCCTTCACGGTTGCTACGTTTTTATAGAATCTGGAGGTTACAAAGGTATCGTGTCCTGTTATTGGCGGCCATTCTGGAACTACTATTATTCCAGTCTTCTCACAATGCACCCCTGCAGTTAATTTCCCTCAAGTAAGAAATTTTGTCAAGAAATAAGTCAAGTAAATGTTCACTAGTAATTCTAAGGTTCACGTAGTTAATCGCACGGTATATAAGAACGTCTTTCATTTTTTATTTAAATTATTTGTTCAAATGCTCTGATTAGTTGTTTAAAACCTTGTCTTTTTAGAAAGTACGCGAGGAACTGGTCACTCGCATTCAAAACGCTGGCACTGAAGTTGTGAACGCGAAGGCTGGCGCTGTACGTTTCCAATTTTTTCTGAAATTCCAAATTTTCTCTACTTAATCCAATTTTGATTTATATTCTAAACTAGAAGTGCTGCTGCTACTTATTGAATTCACAAATTCTGAGTTGATTTTTCTCATTTCTGCCGATCGATTTTTTTAAGTGCCTTCGCACTTAGCTTTTGCGTGAAATATTAATCTTATTCTCCTTATTTAGGACCTGGACACGCTTACGATCAAAAAATTCATGTATTCTACTATAAGTGTGATATTATTGACTCATTTCGTTTTTCTTTTGAATTTGACCTTATAAGTAGGATGCTTATTTGACTTCAACTATATCTAGTCTGATGATTTTGTAGTAGCAGATTTTATTTTATGCCTTGTTGACCAACGAAGCTCAAAGAACCGTGGCACTTGTCCTTCAAAAATGTCTTCTTAAATTTTTTGTGTAAACATTGTTATTTCAAATCAAGCCATGAATGCTCTCCGAGTCTTTTCATCTATCTTTATGGTAGCCGTAATTTATTGCAATTCGTTCCCCGCTCGTTTGTTAAGATTTTTTCTTCCCATCTAATTTTAAATTGAAGCGCCACAAAGTCTACTAGTTAGAGTTCAGCTTATTACTATCCCCTTTCTGCAGGGTCCAGCATGAAGCTAGTGACTGTTTTATTTTGTTCCATCTTTTTGACATCTCCACTTTAGCATTAGTACTGCGTTGAAATAGGAAATGAATGTAAACCTTTGGTTATTAATTACTGTTTTTTCGGCTCATTTCTGATATCTCTTGCTTTCCTATATTCACTTTAATTACCTTGGCTTTACGTTTTAGATTACTTAAACAATCTCTTAATAAGTGTTAGCCATTAAGTGTCATGGTTAGCTGATGCTTTCTTTATATTTCAAAATGCAACAATATATTATACGAAATCACCAACCGCTTTTCTAAATACATGATCTAAGCTTCAACGTAAATTTGACGGAAGTAATTTGTTAATGACTCATTTGAGGTCGGTCTGAAATTGATGCCTATGGAAGTGTTTTGTTTTTTAAAAACTCCAAATTGCTCCTCCTATTACTGTAGTAATTACAGTTTGTAAGATTGAGTTTATTTTCTCATAACCAAAAAGGATTTAATAATTTAATAGCCATTTAAATGATAGCGAAGTATCTATCTGTTTGATTGTGAAGTTTACATTCATTTTTTCCTTAAAATGTATTAATAAGTGATATTTTTGCCTTTTGCTACAGGGTTCAGCAACTCTTTCAATGGCCTATGCCGGTGCTCGTTTCGCCAATTCCCTTCTTCACGCAATGAAGGGTCACGCTGACATAGTTGAATGCTGCTTCGTAGAAAGCGATGTAGCTGAAACGGAATTCTTTGCCTCACCAGTCCTTCTTGGTGTAAGTTACTTTTTGCTTACCTGCTGTAACACGAGCGATCTGTCACAACGGTCATATGGTGTTAAGCTATGCATTTGTACTATTTCTAACGCTTGCGGTTTGCCTAGGAATAAACGGATGGATTTGTATCCAAATAGAGGACATCGTAGTTCTATTTTCCTTGTATAATATGAGCAATGTATGGTCGTATTGTCCAGTGTAATTCAATATTGAGATCAAATTTATCTATTTAAACTGTTCGAAAATCGCCATGACTTATTCAAAAATATATACGTATTGAGAGATCAGAATTAACTGTGTAGAAGTGAAAATATTTGTTAAAGTTACTTCTATCAATTCCGATTTGTTTGAATTCAATCAGGCTTGAATGTTTGTTTAGTTCTTACTAAAATTGAGACTTGTCGGATCGCTATTGTTCTTAAAGATGATTTTTCGCGTTGATTTTTCTCAATAGCTCTTTTATTTGCTTAAAATAAAGCATAAATTGAAAATATGCTAAGGTACTATTTAATGTTAGAAAAGTTTTCAATAAATATTTTCCCCTGGTTAATATCATTTGTATTTTTGGTCTTCTTTATTTCCCTTATACTCATTGTATTTATCCGTTTGTGTATTTCAAAGCAATAATTATGGTTTGTTTTGTGCCTAACTGGCCTTTGTGCTCCCCCTAACCATCACTCTTGGCAATTAGGTACTTTAGGTTTGCATAGGTCGTAATATTTTGAATAAGAAGGATATTAGTTGTCATCGTTTTCATCTTAAATTGATGCTAACTCTTCAATCTAATATGCTTATTTTGACAAACAAAGATTCTTTACTGTCTAATAGGAGGGCCCGTAACCCGGATTTAAGGTGATTGGCCCATGGACAATTTTGTCTTAAAGATACATTTTCTGCTAATAGCACTTTCGAGCTGTATTTTTTAATCTTTAATATTTCGTTTGTCGCTTATGTCTGCAGATGCTTAATAGCTGTTTGCTTATCCTTTAGCCCAACGGTGTTGAAAAAGTTTTCGGTGCTGGCAAGCTGAATGAATTCGAGATTGAATTATTGAAGAATGCGATGCCAGAATTGAAGAAGAATATACAGAAGGGCAAGGAGTTCGCTGCTAAATATTAAGTTAGCTCACTCCCCTTGAGCCTCTCTCCTACATCCGTCAATGTTTTTTCACACTAGCCGTCATCTTAGCTACCGCACACAATTTATTCTTACCTTTTTCGCTTCTAATTGTTGTGCAATAAATTCTAAATATTCAACATGTCTTTTTGATTTGAATCCTCAATCATCCACCTTTGAGCTTTACTCGACTTCTGCTTTATATATATATATACTCATTATTGGGATAAATTTATAAATATAAATAAATTAATTTATATAAACCAATTTGGGATACTATAAGTGGCATTGGTACTAATTTCATATTGACAACTAATATAAATGTAAAGATCCGGAAGCTTATAGGTGGGCTCATTAGAAGCTGATCATCGCTCAGAGAACGAACGAACAACACCAAAATATCTAAACATTTTTTACATCACTCAGAGTTTTAGCCATGTCAGTGATTCTTATTATCCTCTCAGCGTGCGCTGTCTTTTACTTACTGATGTTTTAATGTTGAAAAGATATGTGAATTCGTTCAAACCCACTGGTCAGCAGGCATTGAAAATCAACCAATCACTCACGGAAGAAATCATGAAAATTAAGCTTTAGAGATTATGAAGTGAATTGAAAGAAACTTTGAGAACTTAATGCTTCCAAAATTCAAATTAACCCAGACCAAACATTCGAAATTTTCGCTTCATACCTTTCTGTTGCCTACTAATTATCTCTGGCTTAATATACCACTGGATTGATGTATTTAGGAACGCATTTAACCCATCTGGATTGAAGGTATTCTCGAATCTTGTACTTTTAATTGATTTCCCATTAATAGTCCTATCCTCTTAAGGCTACACAACCGAGCCTTGACTAAACCCCGGTGATTTCTATACCGAAATCCCAATTATTTGAAAGTGCTCTCGAAATTAGATATACTGCCTCAACGGCATTCAGGAGACAAGGAATATGGTGTGTGAACATTGTTAATTGTGTGTCCGTGCGTCACAGACATAGAGAGAATAGTGTTTTAAAGATGTTAAAGAGACAGACATAAAGGCAGAGAAAAGGAAAGATGAGCACTGTGGAAGAAGTCGACAATGGCATACAGTGGGGTGATGGTAGTTTGAAGTGAGAAGTCAACTGCCAGTTTATAGACTTTTCTGCCGTATGAGTATACGTTGCCCAGGGTGCACCACGTGGAGGTAAGTCTATCGCACACCCCTGGTTATTGATTGTTAATTGGCTAAGAGGTCTCTGAACTCACGACGTGCATTCCTTCTTATCACGATCATTGGAACACAAATTTCCTTTCCAGATTGCTTGAGCACCCATGAGATTCCGTGGTTCAGCCATGTTAGCGTTGTGCTCTCTTTACAAACACTTCTTCGCTTCAACAAAGCTTAATGATAGTAAATGCCTAAGTGTTTTCTTACCAAATTTAATAACTGTTATTGTTTTACCTTTAGCTAACATTAGGGCTGCACTATAAACGGGAAAAATTGTTGCTCTTTTCCTTTCTTTAATGCAAAATTTTCGCTCAAATTGATTAATTCAGTCTCCACTATTTGTACATTTCCGGAAGTCTAATCTAGGAGCTTTCAGTAGATCAACCGGAAATCGATAAAATTACTAAACATGAAATAAAAGCAGTGATAATTTTCAACACTAGTGGATATTTGGGGATCAAATATACCTTTTTTGCTACTGATTGTAGAATTTTCGTTTGTAGCTGACTTTGTAAGATTACAAACGGATTAATTTTGAGGGACCTGGGACGTTCATTTTCTTGAGACTAATAGTAGTCGACTATTCGAAATTGGCAATACGCTCTATTTCCTCGTCACCTTTTCCGTTTCCCCTTGAAAGTTAACGACAAACCGTGAATGACTGGAAGTCTGATTTCTTCCATACTTTTTTAATACTAGAAGAAGAAGTTTCAGCTAGTGCAAGCTGCTTTTCCCCCCAATGTACTTTTTATGCTTGTGTTAACTATATGAATCAATACATAGCTTTAAGTTTCTCTGTCTAACTTAATTTAAATCTGCCTAATCAGATTAGGGAGGGGGGGGGGGTGAGGGACTTCTCACTTCAAACTACCATCACTCAACTGAATGCCATATTCGAATACTTTCACAGTACTCAACTTACCTTTTCTCTTTCTTTATGTCTGTCTGTCTGTCTCTGATACGTCTGTGAATCATTATTCTGTCCCCCTCCCTATTTTTTGTCACTTTGATGTTTCTCCTCTTCTATGTGAAGCCTGAAGTCAGCTAAAGGGCCAATGATAACTATCAAAGCGCCTGCCATTTGAAATAAATAAATACTTCAGCTACTCTGAGGACAAGCATACTATGGCAAAGTATGAGAGACAATTGACAAGTTCGGCAAAATTCAAATGTCTGCAGAATCATCGAGCAACAGTAAGTATGAGGAAACTTAGCCGTCTGTTGGCAATTAATACATCTTTGCGCAAATTCTCCCGTGTTCTTTTCAATTCCATGCCGATATGTTATCGTTCATGTCTAGTGAACTGCAATAATACTACTCGTATGAGTGCTGAAGCACTGAAAACGTGGACTACAAAAATATGCATAAAATAACTGCCATCTTTAAAGTTATAAGAAAATGCCCTATTCGAAAGATTTAGACCATTGAGTGCGAATATGATGGGGGCCTTCTACACTGGGTCTTTACCTGCCGCCTCTTGCAATTGGAAGTTTGTATGCAGCATCACAGAATTGGCGTCGCATGTCGTCTTCCATAGTCAGACATGCAATGATGCTTTTTTTTAAAAAATGAGATGAGAATGACAAATACCATGTCGGAATTCAGGTGCGTTTCAATACCCAAAATCGAAATCATAGTTTACGTGACTCTGAGACAACTTGGATTTGTAAATAGGCTTCTAAAAATAAAAGTTTGCTAATTATTTACCACCATTCAGTATTGAAAAAATGCCATCAGGAACTGGTAGCGGACTATTAGTAGGCTTTAATGGAGAATTTAGATAAGTAAGATAATCAGGACACAACCGGTTAGTTCCATTTCCTTTCCGAACAATAAAAATTGGTGCAACTATTTTGAATAAAAGGTTTAATAACGCCTCTATGTAGCAGCCGTTAAAGTTCTATGTCTGCCATGGGCATAGCATTCAGTATTACTTCCCTTCTTGAAATCTTTCGGGAAAGCACTGATCCATTCTCTCTGCTAAAAACAAAGTAGACATGCAGAGGAATGTACGGGATTGTGAACGCGATTTATGACTCAGTCAGGCGAGATCAAGCATATTCAGGAAAGAACGTGCTACTTAAGATAACCTTGAGGCACCAGTATCCCGGTGGTTAGCGTTCCAGCTTAGTTGACCTGTTGGTTCAACAGACCCCTCCCCACCCCAAACCCAACCACTCAAGTACTGCCTGAAAATTTGAAGGCCGTTTATAGTTTAGGAAGGGACAATATTTTCCATCGATTTCTTGAGATTATGGCTATATCTGAATTTGCACTTAGATTATTTTTTCCGCAACTTAGTTGCGTCATATGCTTGTCCACAATTGGGAATTCTGAGAGGGGCCAGTGGATAACAGCTTCTCTATGTTTCATCTTTCGGCGCTATTCACACGGATTCTGCTTGCGAGGGCATTCGTGGGGGGAAATTCCGAAATCGGAAGAATGTGAGTAAGTTAAAGACGGTTTCTGTTTGACAGAAGGGTTTGACTGTGCCATAAAATGTGTTGTTGGAGGCTAAGATGCCGACATTTTGTGTGCAAGACGCCTAGGCTGAATCACATGCGAGATTTGTCCTGTTTACGTTCCTCGCTCTTGGAATTCTCTTCAATAATTTTAGCAATCTTCACAACCAAGTCTTCGTGATAAATTCGGTATTCGAAGTCTGTAGGTGAAAATACAACTAAGCTATACCAAAGTGACTTCCCCGGTGTTACTACACAGGATGTAAGTCGAACAAATGCATCCAATAATCAACGAATTCCAGACCAAATGGAAGTAATTCCTTACACTAAAGAACAATGAAACATTGAAGCTTATGATTAACACCAGTAGTGTTCAATGCGGTGTGCGATAGACTTACCTCCACGTGGTGCACCCTGGGCAACGTATACTCATACGGCAAAAAAGTCTATTGATCGGCAGTTGACTTCGGACTTCAAACTACCATGACCCCACTGTATTTCATATTCGACCCCTTCCACAGTACTCACCTTTACTTTTTTCTCTACCTTTGTGTCTGTCTATCCCTTTTACATCTGTGAATCGCTCTTCTGTTTCTCATCCCTCGACTTTCTGCTACTTTGATGAACCTTCCCTCTGTGAAGCCCGAAGTCAGCTAAATGGCCAATGATAGTTATCAAAACGCCTCCCATTTGAAATAGATAGATAATAGATAGTGTTCAATGCAGCCTTAAATTATGGTTGAAATCTGTCTCACTAACTGATTGGCTTTTGTAGTAATAACAAGGTGGTTTTGGTTTTTTTGGAAAGACTCCAGTACATTCACGCTAGTCTACCGAGTTAAAATCTTGAGAGTGGGATGTAAGAGAAGGTAGTGGGAATGGAATCGGTTTAGTTGTAGAAATTAACTGGAACAACTTATCACGTCTCCTTGACGTATGACAGGCGAGTGAATCCAGTTATAACAATAAATATTACCTATTATTGGCCATTCTTATTCGTCATCCAGCGCCTAACTGCTATAATGGATTTCCATTCCATAAAGGCATCTAATTACAACCTAAGTTATTGACCTTGAGAAATGCGAAGGGAGACATCACATCACATCACACTCGATAGCGATTGGTGAGGATTGCACGCTCTCGAAAAGCATGACTATTTTGGATGAGTTAGTACATGCGACTTAATAGGTGTTCTTTGCAACTGTCTGCAAACCAAACTTTCTGTTATTCTTGTGTTTTGCTGCTCGTTTTTACACATTTACCCCCCCCCCCCCCCCCCCCCCCTCCCCTCCTATGGGAAAAGAACGAGATTGTTTGTGCATCAGTACCACA